TTGCTCCATTCTTGCTCCACTGACCAAACTGTCATATCGAAATAGGTGCCTGTTCACTGACCCAATGGTGTTTTGTTTTTGAGAGGGGCCAGGAGACCTCAATGCTATAAGTTAATTGATCTGTTTAATATTGGATAAAATCCCGAATGAACTGAGGATGCTGTATATCAGGAACAAAAACAGAAGTTGCTGGAAAAGCTCAGCAGGCCTGGCAGCATCTGTGAAGAAAAAAACTCAAGAGTTAACGTTTTGGGTCCAGGTACCCTTCCTCAGAACTGGGGAGGGGTCACCGGACCCGAAACGTTAACTCTGATTTTTTTTCTTCACAGATGCTGCTAGACCAGCTGAGCTTCCAGCAACTTTGTTTTTCTTCCTGTGTTTAATATAGGACTTGTACTGTCCTGACAGGACGGGGCAGGGTGGGGGAGCACATGTTTTGACTTATAAAGATAAGCTGGAACCTTTCTCACTGGAGCCTAGGAGGTTGAGGGGTGACCTTACAGTGGTTTATACAATCATGAGGGGCACAGATAAGGTGAATGCAAAGATCTTTTTCCCAGAGTGGGGAGTTCAAAACTAGGGGGCATTTTTTTTAAAAGGTGAGAGGAGAAAGCTTTAAAAGTGACCCAAGGGACAACCTTTTCACACAGTGAGTGATTTATATATGGAATAAAATACCAGAGGAAGTGGTAGACCTGGGCACAGTTACAAAATTGAAAAGACATTTGGACAGTTACGTGAATTAGGAAGGTTTAAAGGGACATGGGCCAAACGCAGGCAAATGGGTCTAATTTAGTGCCGGAAGCTTGGTCAGCACAGACTAGTTGGACCAAACGCTCGGTTTCTGCAATAGGACATTGCCACATTACTTCCCTATGCTGTGTGTCCCAAAATGGCCAGTCAACTCGACTTACACCTCCATCTCCATCTTCCCCCTTCCCAGTCTGCTAAAATATCCCTTATTCTTACACCAGGTAGACTACAAACCTAACTTAGAATTTACCAAAGGACTTGACTTAATCCCTCATTATCATATTTCCTGACTACAACCACTACTCATGGATCCACACTCATCCACCTCCTCTTTTTGTATTGCCTACTGTTCCACAATTAGCATTCCCCCTGCAGCTTTCATTGTTATCCTCACCAAGTTACAAGTATACTGTTCCTGTTGGATAGGGCTGGTATCTGCAGATCCTCCTTCATGCTCTCCCTTTGATGACTGACAAGTCACTGTTTCCCAGTACCGCAGCTTCCCCCGCAGCTTGAATACATTCTAGAGGAAACAAACCAGAAATTCTGCATCCACCCAACCACCCTCCCTCCCCTCCTAACATACTCAGAGAACAAGTGGATAAGATGGTAAAGAAGGTGTGTATGCTTGCTTACCTTCACTGGTCGGAGCACCAAGTATAAAATTTGGCAAGGCACGTTGCAGCTAAGACTTTATTCAGGCCACATTTGGAGTATTGTGTGCAGTCCTAGTTGCCACACTGCAGAAAGGATGTAGAGGCTCTGAGGATGTTGCAAAAGGGGTTTACCACCATGTTGCCTGATTGGAGTGTGTTTGCTATAAGGAGAGGTCGGACAAACTTGGTTTGTTTTCATTAATGCACTGGAGGCTGAAGGACAACCTGGCAGAAGTATATAAAATTATCAAAGGTGTGGATAAGGTGGATTGTCAAAGTCTTTTTCCCAGGGTAGGAAATAGATTTAAGGTGAGAGGTGGAAAGTTTAAAGGAAATGAGCGATAAGGCAGGAGATGCCTGAAACACACTGCCAAAGGAGATGACAGAAGCACATACGTTAGCAAAGTTTAAGAGGCACTTAGACAGACAAATGAACAGGCAGGGAATAGAGGGACATGGACCATGTGCAGGCAGATGGGATTAATTTAGAATGGCACACGGTCAGCACAGACACGGTGGGCCAAACGGCTTGTTCCTGTGCTGTACCGTTCTATGCTAATAATACACCACAGTCGTTGGCCTGGGGACCAGAGCAGACGGTCAGTGGCTCGCGTGCCCAGTCAGACCACATGTGGGAGGCCCCTGCATTGATAATACTGCAGGCACTTTATACAAAGAGTGCAAGGTTTATCACTTTAACTTTATTTCTTATTTTACTCACTTATACTATGAATAACTGAAGGTTAAGGTATCTTTTTTCTTTATTTCTCTATTTTGTATCTAAGATTTGTATCTAGGTACCATGTACCCAAGATGTTGGCTTGTGGGGTGACATTGTACATTTTACTTGAGTAATGTAAATGTACTCAAGTAAATGTACTTGAGTCCACATGACAATAAACCTAATTCTAAATCCTAAGGAGGCGGCTATTAAGCCCATCAAGTCTATACTGACTCTTTCAAAGAGCAATCCAGTTAGCCCTGCTATTTTCCCACACTGCAGCACTTTTAAAATTTCAAGTATTTAACCAACTCCTTTCTGAAAAATCATAATGGGATCTGTTTCGACGTGCCCGTCAGACAGAACGTTCCAAATCCTAACCACAGGTTGCATAAGAACCATGGTTTCTTATGCCAACTCAAAATCATTTTCCAACCATCTCAAACCCTCATCTATTGGAGAAATTCTCTTCATTTACTATATTGAAGCCTTTTGCGATTTTAAACACCTCTATCAAAATCTTCTCTTAACTCCCATTATTCTAAAGTAGTTTGGTTTAACCGTACAACTGTAGACCAGTCTCTCTCCCTAACATTGCTGGCAGAATACATGTGAATGCTAGTTAGAGGCACTTTAGCAACACCATGCAGAGACACTCCCTACAAAGCTAGCATTCAGGTTCCAGAGGTATATCATAACACAGTGTTGATTGATAACATACATGGAAACTCTCCAGTGTGGAAGCTGGCCATTCAGGCCATCGAATCCACATCAACCCTTCAGGGAGCATCCTACCAGACCGTTCCCTTTACTTCGCAATTCCCATAGCTAACCTACCTACTTTGCACATCCCTGGACACTATGGGCAATTTAGCATGGCCAATCTACATAACCTGCACATCTTTGGATTGTGGGAGGAAACGGGTGCACCCAGAGGAAACCCACACAAACACGGGGAGAACGTGGAAACTCTGCACAGACACAGTCACCCGAGGGTGGAATCGAACCTGGGTCTCTGGTGCTGTGAGGCAGCAGTGCTAACCACTGAGCCATCATGCCGCCCCGTAAACAATCTACAATAACATCTACAATGTTTTTGATTTATGAGCTTTTTCTTTTTATATGCAATACCTGTACAGATTTGAACTTTGTGGGGAGTTTTGCAGCCCAAGCTTAAAATCAGCCTAGGTTGAGAAAATGAAAACTTTCAACATTACAGCTGTATGAATCATACATGAAATCAATTTTGACAGTTCTTGTGTAGTTACAGAGCAGCACAGAGCTACAAAGACAAATTGTCACTTTTCCTGTACTCTCACTGGTGGACATTTTGTGTGGGAAATGGCAAAGTTGCCACACGGGTAATATACAGAGTACAGTGAGCATCTCCCTGCATCTGACCTTGGAGTTCAGGGAATTGCTTGAAATGAGAAGGCTTCCATTGCCTAGAACGAGCATAAAAGCACAGAATACTCCCAGATGCACTATTATGATGATGCAATACGGGATAGATTTACAAATGAGGAGACCTCTGGATTGCACACTCCCAGAATAATCATCATTCTGAATTTCTCTCGTGTTGCTGCCTCTCCGAGGTTCTCTCTGCAGGTACTAAGTTTTCTGTAAATAGACCGATGTTTCACTCGGGCAGCTGCGACTGTCCTTCAGAAGCTTGGACTGTGCTCAATTGGGACTGCCTTGGTTTCACAGCAGTTTGCCAGACTGAAGAATGTATGCTTTGGGTTTCAGAATTAGACAAGACAACATACAAAGCAAGGCACTCTACCAGCAGTGTAACTCTCAGTTTTCTACTTTTGGGTTGTTACTGCATTATTAGTTTTTAAAAAATGCTACTAGATTTACACGCACTAAATAAGAAATGTCACGACACAGTACATAGACACCATGTTGGAAAGTAAAGCGACATCTGATCTCTAACCAACACTGAATCTAGTTCCAAATTGAGAACCTAATAAAAGCAAACCACTGGTCAGGTGGCATAATAATATTCATGACTTATTTCGCAAGCTTGAATTTACACTTTTATTTCTAGCAACCTAAATCAAATGAAAAATGTTCAATAGTTACAAAGCACCAGTTTTTACTTCTGATTTCCATTAACAATATTTTGCTTTTTATTAACAAAATACAAATCAAATTGCAACCAAGATTAATTTGTTGACTGCTCTTACAACAGAACATAAAAAAGGTTGTACCAAATATTTTAGTTAATTTTCCAGTCTTGACACATTAAGGTGCTACATCCAACAGTAAGACTCTTATGCTGAGGTCCTCATTTTCAGCACAGGTCAATATTCAGAATGCAAACTTATTTTATTGTCATACTGCAACTGTCCAACTGCAAGCCCACGTCTTAGGAATGAATAAATGAAATACCCCATAGCATCTGGCCGATAGAATGGATCTTTCGCTCCATCTGGAATGTGAGTCGTCAACTGTAAGCTACATATCTCCAAATAAATTAAAATCTAATTGATTATTTGAAGTAATTGTAATTGCAATTGGTTAAAAAGACGATTGAGGATAAACAGTAACCGCAGATGCCGGGGACAAACACACTGTTTTGCCTCCAAGTGTCGGGAAGTTTCATCCGTTGTGTTTACATTGAGTAATTGCATCATCCTCCAAACCAGAGGCTTTCGCTAGCAGCCATGTGGCTATTGCTACTTCTCCATTGAAGCCTTCAGAAAATTCCCATTTGCGGGCAAACCCCGACCGAACAAAACCGAATCCGGGAAGGAAGTGTTTTATAAATAAAATTTATGGAAGGCTGGTCATCAGAGAGCTTCGAGCGCCTGCAGAATCCCGCACATACACACAAAAAGCTCGAATTAAAACGTGGCGCTTACCTTCCCTGGGCGGAAAAGGGCTTGGCTCCACTTTACAGCAGCTTGCTCACGAGCACACTGGCTTCAGACAGAAGCGGCGATAGTGCAGTAGCGAGTAATGTTCACACACTGTGCAAATATAAAACAAAACACAAACACACACGCACACGGAAAGATGTTAAGTAAAATGTTGCATTGCCGAGTCCGGCCTGCCCGCGCTATTACAGAGGCGGCTCCCAGGGACTTTGCATGATATCAGTGGCAGCACCTCCCCTTCTGCGTGTAGCGCTTAACGTATCGTCGCTCCTTCACCAATTTTACTAGCGTATACTTTGCCTGTGTTTGGACACCTGACTTTAGCTGCTGTAGCCTCTCTGGTCAACACAATCAATCAGAATTGAGGAGGGCGGATGTATTAGGTTTTCCGTTCTGGTGGGAAAGAAAGAATAACTTAAACCTAATTCTTATCTTTCTATATGTACTGTGTATGAAATAAGCGGATCGTTTTTACAGATTCCTACATATGCAATGACCCTGAAGAGGTCAAACTTGACTCGTGGGGGGAGATGGGGGTTGGTTCCTGGCTTTTGACTAATCAAACACCTCCTCCCTCACCCCCATCCCAGGCCCCAAGAAGACTTTCCACATCAAGCAGCTGCTCACCTGCACATCTGCTAATGTGGTATACTGCATCCACTGTACCTGTTGTGGCCTCCTCTACATCAGGGAAACCAAACAGAGGCTTGGGGACTGCTTTGCAGAACACCTACGCTCGGTTCGCACTAAACAACTGCACCTCCCAGTCGCAAACCATTTCAACTCCACCTCCCATTCCGCAGATGACATGTCCATCCTGGGCCTCCTGCAGTGCCACAACAATGCAACTCATATTCCGCTTGGGAACCCTGGAGCCCAATGGTATCAATGTGGACTTCACAAGCTTCAAAATCTCCCCTCCCCCCACCGCATCCCAAAACCAGCCCAGCTCATCCCCGCCTCCCTAACCTGTCCTTCCTCCCACCTATCCCCTCATCCCACCTCAAGCCCCACCCCCATCTCCTACCTACTAACCTCATCCCGCCCCCTTGACCTGTCCGTCCTCCCTGGACTGAACTATCTCCTCCTTACCTCCCCACCTACACACCTTTACTGGCTCCATCCCCGCCTCTTTGATCGGTCTGTCTCCTCTCCACCTATCTTCTCCTCTGTCCATCCTCTACCTGCCTCCCCCTCTCTCCCTATTTATTTCAGATCCCCTTCCCCTCCCCCATTTCTGAAGAAGGGTCTAGGCCGGAAACGTCAGCTTTCCTGCTCCTCTGATGCTGCTTGGCCTGCTGTGTTCATCCAGCTCTACACCTTGTTATCTCATCCAGGAAGGAACTGAACACATAGAAAGAATTTGTCAGGAATGTGAAGAGCGGAAATTGTCATTCATCACCGGTTGTTGCTTGCAGATGAGAATGACTCTCTTTCACTTTAAGCGTGAGTCTGTAGGTGAGTATACAGACTGACACAGCTACCGCAGGCTCTGCTACACTTGGGGCAGGTGGTGGTCACGCGCCTTTCCATGTTTTTGCCTGGCTTCCATCTTTATCCCAACGGCAAATCTCAAGATGCTCAATGCCTTCCCAAATGCTCCTCCTCCACTTTGTATGGTTTTAGGGCCAGTGATTCCCAGGTGTCTGTGGGAATGCCGCACTTCACCAGGGAGGCCTTAAGGCTATCACTGAAGCGCTTCCTCTGTCCACCTGGGGCTCACCTGCTGTTTTGAAGCCTGGAGTACTGCACCCGCTTGGGAAGTCTCATATTGATCATGCAGACGACATGCCCAGTCCATTGTAGCCAATCAAGGGTGGTCAGTACCTCGATGCTGGGGATATTGGCCTGGTGTTGGTGCATCTTTCTTCCCAGTGGATTCGCAGGATCTTGCACAGGCAGCACTGGTGATACTGCTCCAGCACCTTGAGGTGTCTGCAGTAGACAGTCCATGTCTCAGAGCCATACAGGAGGACAGGAACCACCACAGCTCCATAAACCTTGAGTCTGGTGCCAGACCTGATGCTGTTGTCCTCGAACACCCTTTTCCTCAGGCAGCTGAAGGCTGTGCTAGCACACTGGGAGTGATGCTGGATCTCTTCATCAATAGCTGCTTTGGCTGACAGGACACCCCCAAGATATTGAAAGTGTTAAGTGTTCTCTAAGGTGTCGCTGTGGACCTCAATGATTGGGGGTTTGCTCCGCAATGCCAGGCCAGGACCTTCATCTTGCAGATGTTCAGGGTGATAGCCATGCTCTCATATGCCTCCGTAAAGGTGCTGATGATGGTCTGGCCTAGATCCTCTGAGATTGCACATAGACAAACATCATCTGCATACTGCAGCTCAATGTGACTGGTTGGGATGACTTTGGTTTTGGCTTGAAGTTGGCAGATGTTGAATAATTTCCTGCAGGTTCTGTAAGTGAGCTCCACTCCAGCAGGGAGCTTGTCAATGGTGAGGTGAAGCATTGCAGCAAGGTATATTGAGAACAGTGTTGGGGCGATGATACAGCCCAGCTTGACACTGGCCCCAATGGGGAATGGTTCATTGGTGGATTTGACTGTCTTTACCATGACTTCCATGTTATCATGGAGCAGGCGAAGGATGGTGACAAACTATATGTTGCAACCAAAGCAGAGAAGGATGCTCCATAATGCTTCCTGACTGACAGTGCCAAAGGTGGTAGGTTCTTTTCTCTGCGTTTCTCCAACAGCTGTCGTGTGGTGCAAATCATGTCCGTTGTGCTCCTCTGTGGCTGAAAGCCACACTGCGACTCAGGGAGGAGTGCCTCAGCCACAGGGAGGAGACGGTTGAAGGAGACGGTTGAAGAGGACGTTGGTGATGAGTTTTCCAACGGTCAACAGCAGGGAGATTCCCCTGTAGTTACTATAGTTGGACTTGTTCCCTTTTTTGAAATTACTCATCTTGGAGCTCTCCTGGGATACTCTCCTCCTTCCAGATAAGGCAGACAAGGGCATGTAGCTGCAGCAAGAGCTCTTTACCTCTGCGCTTCAGTGCCTCAGCGGGGACACCCTCTGGTCCAGCAGCCTTGTTGTTCTGAGCTGGCAGACAGCCTTCTATACTTCATGCAGCGCTGGGGTGTTGCAGAGCTCGGGGCATATAGTTTGCAATGGCAACATCAGAGCCTTGGTTGAGGAGGTATCTGAAGTGCTTCCCCCAGCTTGGTTTGATGGCTTCTTTGTTTTTGATAAGAGTCACTTTATCTTTGGCTGGCAATGGGGTGGGGCCTTGTGTGTTTGGTCCGTAAGTGATCTTGACAGCTCAGAAGAAACCCTGCATATCAAGATCGGCGACCATTCGTTGGGCCTTCAGTGTTTTCTCCACCTGTTCTTCATGTCACGGGTCTGTTGTTGGATCTCGGCCTTCAGTCACCTGTAGGCCTGCCTTTTCTCTTCCCAATGCAGTTGTTGTTTTACACTCAGAATTGCCATGCGCTTCTGACTTATCAGTTCTTGGATCTCAAGGCATCAGAGGAAGCACACAAACCTCCAAACAAATCATCTAACCCAACCCTTGGAACACTACTATATGTCTGCAGATCACACTGAAATTATCAGCTTTCTCCAAACTCACTGAGCCCAAAGTGAAACAAGCCCCAAGGCGCTGCCCTAAGAAGGAGATTTATATAATAACTGGAACCTATGTATTGGCTCATAATATATTTATTGTGATGATCTTCCTTTGTACATTCTTACTTCTATTTCTTGAACAGCTGCCAATAGCACAGTGCCATGGCCAGTTAGCTCATCCATTCTGCAGCCCTCGCTTTCATCTAGAAAGCCTCAAGCCTGTTGTAAAGGCTAACGTTCCTGTGTGCTTGTCCTTAGGTCCCTGCACCTGCCTCCTTTACAGTCACACCCTCCCGTCCCTGACCACTGACTAAATCAGAAAACCCGGTCGGATTAGGTGTGGACGCCTCCTGGAATAAAGTGTCCAGGTATCTTACCCCTCCCTCCCCCGTCACTGATATGCTGCAGTATCTACAGCTCAATAACGCTGAGTCAAAGTTCCTGCAGCTGCAAACACTGTCCACTCAACTGTTTGCCCTGGATTGTACCAGCATCCTGATGTGCCCACATTCTGCAACTGTGGCACTTCACCTGCTGTGACGTCTTGGACGTATGTTTATTAACTAATTAATCATTCCAAGTTAATTCATTTATTGTAAAGACCGCACCATTTTATTTTTCTTTATTTCAGATTGAGGACCAGAATTGGAAAAGGATACCGTTTTCAACCAAGGACTAAAAGGGGATGTTGCAGTTTTAAAACTTCTTACTGGAACTCATTTTGAGTTGTATTGTCACTGCTGCCTTATTTGAGTAGTAGGGGGAAAAATGCTAGAGACTCGTCAGCAGCATGTGTTCAGAGAGCCTTACCCAGACACAGTCTAGATTTTCAGTAATCACCGTGGGTCAGGGGTGCTCAGCCTGACAACAACTCTCTGATTGGCACTTGGGTGGGGGGACTGTGTGTGCGTGCGCGCACGTGTGTGTATGTGTGTGCGCGTACGTATGTGCGTGTGAACAATACAGCAGCAGAGAGCCTCCAGACTCTAAAAAGGCACCATCCTTCCTGTCCTTGCAGAGAAGTGACAAACAATTGGAAGATAGCGAGCCATTCTCACTCACCATTTTTAGCCAGGCCACCTGACCTGAAACGTTAATTCTGATTTCTCTCCACAGATGCTGCCAGACCTGCTGGGCTTTTCCAGTAATTCCTATTTTAGACACTTTTTTTTAAGTTGCTGCCTCTAACCAGTGACTGAAACACTGGACAATTTCTGTGCAAGAGGCCGGTGACTTCAGTTAGGAATTAAGGGGACGTAGAATGAAGAAAATCAGAGACTGGAAGAACTTAGAAGAATCCTGTTTACTATTGCTGTTGAACTGTCTTCCTCTTATATTTTTTCTCCACGTATAATGTTAGAATCTGCCTGCAATGTGTATGTAGCAGCTTATGAAGGGGTAGAGAACATAAGTTAGAGATTTATAAATAGATAATGATTTTTTTTGCCTGTGGTTAGACTGATGTGTTTGTAATAAATAATAGTTTCTTGTTAAGTGGAGAAACCTGGGCAGCTTTTCTATTAACCTGACTTCATCAGGCAGTAAAATTGAGGACTTTAGTTAAACGTGAACTGTTGTAATGACTGCAGGAGTAGACCCAAATGTCAGTGTGCTTTCCGAAGTGGATTGTGATATCATAATTAATACAGCCTACATCTTCCAATAAGTTTTAGCACTGCCAGTAAACTTTACAATACTGATAAAACACACAATACTTTAACTACTGATAAAATTTACATTATCTAATCATACTAGTTACTGGCTTAACTG